TTAGCCTGGAGAAAAGGAGGCTGAGGGGAGACCTCATCGCTCTCCACAACTCCCTGAAAGGAGGCTGTAGTGAGGTGGGGGTCGGTCTCTTCTCCCGAGTAACTGGTGATAGGACGAGAGGAAATGGCCTCAAGTTGCACGAGGGGAGGTTTAGATTGGACATGAGGAAAAATGTCTTTACTGAAAGAGTGGTTAAACATTGGAACAGGCTGCCCAGGGAAGTGGTTGAGTCACCATCCCTGGAAGTATTTAAAAGACACGTAGATGTGGCACTTAGGCAGATGGTTTAGTGGGCATGGTGGTGTGGGGTTGACGGTTGGACTCGATGACCTTAGAGGTCTTTTCCAACCTTAATGATTCTATGATTCTATGGAATTCTTTTCTTAGCTGTTACGTGAACATTTACAGAAAATGCATGAACATCTCTTTTTTTTCTCTACCCAAGTAAATGGCCAAATGTGGAAGAATTCCTATGAAGACTGCAACGTATGGTCATGATGTTACCTTTTCTAAGGTAACCATTGGGTTACCTTTATTTAAACTTCAAGCTCTTCTTTTAAAGTATATTCAAATGCTTCCAAAGCTACCATATACAAAAACAAACACTGAGGAGAAGGGTTTTCTTACCCTGAGAGAAAATTATTCTGAGATGTTTTTTAAGGAATATATGTTTTGGAAAAATTTTGACACTTTCCAGATTTCTGCCCCAGCCTGAATGATTTTGGAAAGTAAATCTTCAACTTGTATGATTAAAATATGTCAGAGGTGTAAACCATTGGCGATCAGGTTTTAAATAGGATGCATTTGGCAACTTCAAAAAGAGTGCTAGCCACTTACAGGAGGACAACCAAGAGAGAAGGTCATATACACTAACACGAGAGGAATGAGTTCTTGCATTAACGTTTTTCTCAAATAAAAGGTGCTAAAAATTGTTGACTTCTCCCTGTTCTCTTTTGGGTTTAGGTTATTCAACTTCTGAAAGCTGGGAAAGCAAAGGAAGTTTCTTACAATGCACTGGCTTCACATATTATTTCAGAAGATGGGGACAATCCAGAAGTTGGAGAATCTCGTGAAGTTTTTGATCTCCCTGTGGTAAAGGTGAGTGACTCATCCATGATACTGTCAAAGTACTGATGTGGATACTTCATTATTATAACAGAAAATATTCATGTTTGGATGATGACCAAATGAAGCATATCTTTAAAGATCTTTTATTCTTGTTATGCAAACTTTTATCCTGACTGATTGACTTCTTTTACAATTCTGTTCTCTTGTTCCTCTTGTTGCTCTGTATCTATCAGTGGTTTGGGTTTTTTTTTGTTTTCTGTTTTGTTTTGTTTTTTCCAGATTCCTCCTTCAGTCATCTGTGAGATGGTGTCCTATTAGCTGTACTTTAGAAATGTTTCTGATGGGAAGGTTCTTACAAGCTTCTGGCAATGGAAAACCTCAATATAGAACAAGTAGTAGACTGCTGAGGGTTTTTGTTTAAACACATACAATTGGCAAGGTGCAAAATGATTTCGTTGATTCTGCATATGTGTGCTACGCTAATTTTAAACAATAGGAACTTGTAGAAAAATAGATTTTTTTTCTCTTGATTTTAGTTTTTAATTATTTTTTTTCTTACTCATACTGGAATTAACGGTATTTTGTTACCATCTTGCAATACTGGGTTACTTTTACAGTGAAAGATTCTGGGCTTCAGGTTTGAAAATGTGAAATTGTCACTGCAAGTCATGAGAGTGATTAGAAGAAAAAACACTAGTATTTCACTGCCAGTACCTTTGGGTACATGATTTTGGGTTATTTTGTCCATATGGTTGCAGGTGGCAGTGGGGAATTTTGATAGCGTATGTCATGAGAGTTCACCTGACAGTGTAGAAGTATGAATTAATTCCAAAAAATAAAAGGTGCTTAGCTAGAGGCCTTATGGTTATAGTGGGTGGGCTGATTAATTTTTAGTTCCTTTTGGAAAAGTGTTCTGTGGCATAATTTTAATCTTATAAATAAGAAGATTGCTGCCATTCTCATGTGAAGGGAGGACATCAGCATCATAACAGCGCTTTCTGCTTTCTAACGCCATTTACTTAAATTATTTAATTTTCTTTATAACTGCTACTAGCTAAACTTTGCCAAACGAGAACAAGTCTTTCAGTAATGTCACTTAGTTTGACCTGAAAACATCACAACGTGATCTGTAATCAAGAAGATCAGACTAAGTGTTAAGGGAATGGAAGTCAGAGGCAAAGGTAGCTTGTTATTGAGAGAAAAGGCATAGAGGATAAGAAAGAGAAACTTGCGGGAGGAAAATCTCCCAATTTTTTTGCAGAGGATTGAGGAGTTACGAGTTGGATATTTTTAGTTCTTTTTTTGTATGCCTTTTTCTAAGGGAGAGAGAATAGCAAGAATTGGGACACCATATACATAGTTACCACAATATGTTTGTTTGTTTGTTTGTTTTTTGAGGAAAAGTAATTTCATACTGAATGTGCTAAAAAATATCCCTCTCTTTCCCCCTGCTTCCTTATATGCTGTATTGGGACTGCTGTCCTACATCTCTTCCCTTCTCCACCACCTCCCCCTCTCCCAGAGGGGGGAATACTGTCCCAGAATACTGTCAGTTAGGGGTCATCACCTGTGTGCTTAGCAGCCTTCATCGCTGTGTGTTTAGAAATTTCTTTCTATATAAGGTTATGGTTCCTGACTCCTTGGTGATGAGTGTAAGGTAGGGGATTTTTTTTGGAGCACGGAAAACTGAAAAAAGGGAGAGGATGAATAAATACTGTAAATGGTTTTCTTGGCACAATAGAAGGACAAGAGAAGGGGGTCTTGTTCCCATATTGCTGCACAACCTTTGAGCAATCTTTATATTAACTCTTACGAATAAATCAGAACAGTCTTTTTTGTAAAGGCCTAAGTACAATGTCTGTGAAACACTTAGACTTTCAAAGCTTGGAGATGTGTATTGAAACTAGCTGTAGTATGAACTTGGAAGGTAATTCACATTTCACACATGCAGACCAAGGTTTTTAATGTTTTGTGGTTTTTATTTTTCAGCCTTCCTGGGTGATCTTGTCTGTTCGCTGTGGAGCTCTTCTGCCGTATCCTTTAAGTTCAAATTTGAATCAATTTTATAGGAAACATGTTAAAATGGATACCATTAAGGGATTAAAGACTGCTTCAAGTATGTACAGCTTAATTTTTTAAAATGGTAGGATGTGTTTTGCTTGGCAGGGTTGCAGCATGCTTGGAGCTTCCTTGTCTTACTTCAGTTTTCCTGTCCCTCTGGCTGTTTTGGATGCTTAATAGGCACTTGCAAGAAAACTGTCATCAAATGGACTCAAAACATTTTAGCTGGAAGTTGATAATTAACTGTGAGGATCCAGGAAAAACGCTGGAGTGCAGTAAGCGGGCAAATGTTGGTTCAGAGTAGAATGGCCTATTCTGCCTTTTCTAGAAGCAGAATTAAGTAAGGGATAAATACACAATAACTCATATCAACACTGTATTATAAATACACTTTATTAACAGATAGTGCTAGTATTCCCATTTTTGGGATAGTCTGTCCTTGCCTTTGGTAGACCCTTGTTGTTCATGTTTGGCTAGATTTATGTTTCTGAACTTGTTTGGCACATATATTCTTGCATATGGATGGCATACTCCTTCCTCTTCTTGTCAGTTACTACTGTTTCATTTTTATTTATGTTCCCCTCAATTTTTTCTTTGGATCATAGGAATGGTGACAATGGCTATTATTATAGAAAAAAATTCATGCATCTTTTTCTCAGACCATTCACGGTAAAGATTCTGTATATGGAAAAGCTGAAGTAGAACAATACATTTCAGTACAGATACGAGCAGATGATTGCAACAAACAATGCCAGAACTAGGGAGGTATGCTGTCAGGCATGAGATCTCATTTTGGAATGAGGTTAGCAGGTGGTCATGTCTATAATGGAAAACAAGAGGTGGTAGATGCAAGAATCCAGGTGTTTGTATTAGGAATTCAGGTCTTAATGTGCTTCAGTGGTTCAGAATTCATGTTTTATACTCAGTATTTCAAGGTATGTGTCTTTGCATCCAGCTGTGTCTCGACTATTTTGGAAATAGCCTGTATATTCTCCACTGTCCCAAGAGAATTCAGCTCAGGTAGTGAGCTGTGGGAAGAGAGAGCAATGAATTCATCAGATAAAATGATATAGTGAAGTCTTTGCAGCTGTTTTGATCACGATAATCAACATGTCAGATAGGATTCAGCAGTTAGTGTGAAACACTTGCCATAGTCATAGATGGTCTTCTGACCTGAGCAGAAGAAGGTTTTCCATCAATGACTTGGCTTCCAAATGGAAAAAAATGTACGAAACATTACATGGCAAAACCCAAATTAGCAGAGCTACTCCTGTATTAAAAATAATTTGATTAGTGATGTAATCTAGGCTGGTGATTTTTGTGTTTTGCATCTGGAAATAATAAATGTGTTTATCATCCTTTCATCATCAGGATGGGAGCGCATGTTGCTTATGTCACACGTCTGTAAGCCTTCTCCCTGTTCCTGAGGACTGACTGGTTGAAAAAAATAATAAAATAGCTTGGAATTAGATACGTTTTCAGGCTTAAGTAATCTAGCACTGCATTATTAGTGGTGTTCTTTCCCATGGAGAAGTTGCACTATTAGAAAATTGGTCTTCCATCTTGTGCTGGTTTTGGCTGGGATAGTTAATTTTCTTCATAGTAGCTAGTCTGGGGCTGTGTTTTGGATTTGTGCTGAAAACAGTGTTGATAACACAGGACGTCTTAGCTACTGCTGAGCAGTGCTGACACAGAGTCAAGGCCTTTTCTGCTTCTTACCCCACCCCACCAGTGAGGAGGCTGGGGGGGCACAAGAAGCCGGGAGGGGACACAGCCGGGACAGCTGACCCCAACTGACCCAAGGGATATTCCACACCATATGACGTCATGCTCAGCATATAAAGATGGGGGAAGAAGAAGGAAGGGGGGGACGTTCGGAGTGATGGCGTTTGTCTTCCCAAGTCACCGTTACGCATGATGGAGCCCTGCTTTCCTGGGGATGGCTGAACACCTGCCTGCCCATGGGAAGGAGTGAATGAATTCCTTATTTTGCTTTGCTTGCGTGCACGGCTTTTGCTTTACCTATTAAACTGTCTTTAGCTCAACCCACGAGTTTTCTCACTTTTACCCTTCCGATTGTCTCCCCCATCCCACCAGGGGGGAGTGAGCGAGCGGCTGTGTGGGTCTTAGTTGCCGGCTGGGGTTAAACCACAACACGTCTGAAACCCGGGGTTTTTAAAAGGATGCTCTAAGAGCTGATGTTATTACATATCCAGAAGAGAAATAACAGATAAAACCATTGAGTGATGCAGTCCATAACCAAATTGTGGCAATAAATGTGTGAATGTAGCCCCGAATGGCTATTGCTCAGGAAGTCTTTATTGTGGGTATATAGGAATGGCCAAATGAAAAGACCAGGTCTCAGTAGTATCATATTCTTGGGTTGCATGGAAGAAGGAAGTTTTGTACCCCCGTCAGCAATAAATGTGTCCTTGGACCTTTGACTTTATTCTTTCTAGCACTTTTCTAAGCACGTGTCCTTAGAACCTGGTGGTTTTAGATTTTATTCTAAGCCTCATAGTGCTCACTAAAATGGGTTGTTAAGTCTTAACTTTGTTCTGTTTCAGTCTCTTTACGACTTCTAGTGCAGTGGCATCCAGCCTTTCATTAGGGTTTTAGGTACTACCATAATGAAAAAAACGTAGTTAATAGGAATAGCTTACTTTTTCCAGTTGATTGTTTTTGGACCCTGTTTAGGCAGAGGTTTGAGGTTCTGCATATTCATCTTTTGTTTATGTTTTGATTTGGAGATGTAATACTCAAAGTTGTCATTGAATGTACTGAAGAAGCAAGTCCTAGAAACATCTTTTGTCAGTTAGATACGTGGATCTAATAAGAGCCTTAAAGGTTTTATGTTTGCTTACCAATTCTGGTACTTATTTGATGGGCATTTGTTAAAGGTGAAGTTTAACGTAGAAAGATTTAATGCAATATAGAAGTGTAATAATTTTGCCTGTTTCTTATAAATACGCTTTAACATTCCCCTGTGAAAGTTTTTTTCATCAGGGGGAACTTCAGAAGGCAGAGTGTTCTCCTGTTCCCTGCCAACTGATGTTAGCGAAATCTGACTAACCTGCAGCTGAAGGGAAGTAACAGAAAAATGAATCTGGAAGCAGCCTTCCTGAAGAACGAAGTACAGTTTCATGTGTGAAAACCTCAGTTATAATGCCATAAAGAAGGCTGGTGATTTCTTTCTTCATTCTCTTGATAGCAGCAAAAGCAAGAATGAGAAAGGAATATTTTTCCATGGTCTTGTACAGATGAAAGAGGGTCAGAGCACTTCTGAACTTTGCTTGGAGGAAAAAAAAAAGTGAGTTTTGTTGCATTCCCTCTTTTTTGTTTTCCAGACCCACTGGGAACCTTATTGTTGTGCTGCTTGTAACTGTTTTAAGAGGGTCTATTTCACTCCTATTCTTCAGAGAGTGCAAGCTGCAGTCAAACTGATGGACCTCTTAAAAGTTAAATACCGAGCTGTTGTTGCTTTATGTGCTAGGAGCAGATCTTAAGGCAGGGAGTAGACAACTGTATACTTTTGAAAGATCCAGTACTGAATGTCTACCTTAGATGAGATACTGAGCAACACAGTGAAATTTAGGACATGCATCAGACTTGAACTTCTTGGAGTATTCTGGATAATGGCAGTAATCTAAAGTTTCAAAGTGCTCTGGGCTTTGTTGTCAGCTTGCTGTGTGTTGTCTCTTCTGGGTCTCAAAATTTAAGTACTGCTGGTGCATCTGTGAACAGCACAGGGAAAATAATTTTGTTTTATTACAAAAATCTCAGCGTGTGCTTGTTAACACAATGCACATCTGTTTCTGTAGTCCTTTTTTTCCAACAAGGTGTGCACGTATCTTAAACACAAAAGCATATGGAAGTGTAGAAAAGGGAGGGAAGTTACAGAAATCAGCTGGTCCGTCTGTCTTTCCCAGGTCACTTCTGTCAAACTGTTCTCTCCTGTTTCAGAAAGCCCCTCCTGTAGTGGAGATTTCATAGTCTCTCTAGTCACCTTACAGTGCCTCACTATTGTGTTGCTAGAGTCTAAACCCGTTTTGATTTATCTGAGCCACTCTGAACAGGGAGAACAAATTAAAGGCTGCCATATGAAAAGAGAAGTAAAGGGTTTGAAGATGTGTTGTCTTAGCTTCTTAAACACATCAATTGTGGTCTTTCAGTTTCCTCTTGTAAGTCATATTTACTAGGTCTGTAAAAATTCTCACTGCTCTTTTTTGCATACCGTTTCATTTATCTCTCTCTTTGACGCATCTGAAAACAAATACGCATTGCTACCAGAGATCTTGTTGAATTTTGAAAGCATGGTGGAAAAACTTCATGTTAGTTTCAGGCTGTGTTCCTGTTTTTACATCCCAGTGTGATGTTTTCTCAGTTTGTGTTTCACAGTAGCTCCTAGATTCCATGCCCCCCGCCCCACATCTGTTGCCTAGCCAACTTCCAATGCAGTGTTATACCTCAGTAGGAAAAAATCAGCTGCAGAAGATTTCATACTTGCTTATACTGACTTGCCTACTACTGTTTGCAGATAATTTGTGTAATACTTTGTTTGGTTTGTTGTTTTTCTTGATATATAAGCTTGTCCGTTGATACGTTTGTTGTTCAGTGCCTTTTGTGGACCTAATAACCATGCTGTATGCTGGGAAATGGTTTCTACTTTTCCAGTCTTTGCGAAATTGCAAAGGGCAGGTTTCCAAAAGATGTCTTCAATGAAAAATTTTACCATTTGGTTACCAAACTTTGCCATTTTTGAAACCTCTGGCTTCTGTATTACTTTCTAACCTGTTTGTTTGTTTGTTTGTTTAAGACAGTGCTTTTATTTATTGCTGGTTTTAAACGAAGTCATCCACCAGATTGCCATCTTCTTTAATAAGCGTACAGAAAAGGCACTGTGACTTTCTACAGGTGTCTGCTATTAGCTTTTATTTTAGAAAAACACACTTTTCTTGGTCTGACTTGTTTTATCAAATTTCTTGTGCATCATATTCTCTTTATATTGTCTGTTGCTGACTGTAGCAAAAGTTTCTTGTTCAGAGTCTTCTCTATTTTTAAACATGGAAGATAAGCACTTGATAATGAAAGGAAGCTCTTGGTGATGACTCCTATAAGCTAAACTTCCTGTGTTTAGCATCCTGAGATGGGCTGAGGGCGATGTTCTGGGAAGAGGCAGGTTTGCAATGTTACCGAAATTGGTCATAATATTAGAGGTGTCCTGATCCAGTTTGCATCTCATTTTTTTCCTGACGCATACAACTTTAATTGGAAACAAACAACATGCTTTTAAAGATAGAAGTTTTTGGATGGTCAAATACTTGATAATATCTGAGAAGTACTATGCATACTATTTAATTTCCTTCTAATGTCCCTCAGGAAACTCTCATTCAGATTATTTTGCATCCTTGACACCTGCTTTCCAGTGTAAATGGCTTTTCTCCAGAATCATGTCAGATCTTTTTTGGAGTCACTGCCTGTCTCTCTCAGGTAAGAAGTGAGCCATATTTCAGTCTATTCTATATATTCATATATACAATATGTGTGCGATGCTTTGTTTTTTTGAGGAGAGATACCAGTTTTTCTGTTGTACTATGACTTTTTTTCTGTATGTTAGGTGAATTATCACCTAAAACAGTTTTTCACTGAAAATGAGGGCATGATAATTTCAAACTGTGAACATTCAGTCGTTTATCTTGTATTCAACAGTATGGTGATTCTAAAATGCAGAGTACACTAGACTATAAAGCCTTTGCTCCTATTCTTCTATTTCTGCGTTAACACAATATTCAGTCAACATGTTTCACCTACTTAAGCACTGAAACCCTAACAAGGGTGCCAGTGAGTAGAGTAAGTGGAAAGGTGGTGCTTCAGTGGCTTGTGTTCATAGCCAGCTGTATAGGTCTGTGAGTAGCCTACTGGTGACCATTGTGTGGGTGCAGACAGACAGGATAAGGCCCTAGGTGCTAATGGAATATATGCATCCATGTACTTCAGACTTCTTAACAAATTATTCCTGTAATAGTGTCACTAACTCTGAATGATAACGGATTAAATACATGTGGCTTTCTTGGCAGGGGAGGGGGACGTTGCTGTGACATAAATTGTTAGAAATAAACACTTCATGTGTTTACACAGGCTGTTAATTCGGTCTACTTGTTAAAATTCTGTTTAATTAATTTAAACAGGTTGTCTAAGATAAAAAATTCTTGTTTGCTTGATCACTAACTTTTTTCTCTTGTGGAAGGTGATATATTAGTGTTGAGTTTTACAGGAGTGAAGAATGTTTTCTTTTTCTCTGTGCGGGTTAAAAACGATTGTTTAATGTCTTTTCTTGTTGCGTCTCTTTGTCGCCCTTTTTTCTCCATAACTTTCATGCTAATTTGGTATTTAAAAGTGATAGGTAATACATTAGCCAGACTTGTAAGTGGTATGTCATGGATTGTACTAAAATTCTTCAAGCAGAAGGCAGCTGGTTGCATAGAACTAAAAGGCTTATTTACCTTCCTTTTAGGTTTCATCTGAAGACCGAAGTACGCTGTGGGCTTTGATTACTTTTTATGGAGGGAATTGCCAGCTGAGCCTCAATAATAAGTGTACTCATTTGATTGTGCCTGAGCCAAAGGGGGTAAGAGTTTATTACATGTACAATTCTTCTTGTAGCTCTCATTTGCTTTTGAATAATCAAAAATTTTCCATCTCCCTGAAATTAGGATTCTTAAGAGTGTTCGTTAGTCTTGAACAGCTAAATTCAACACAATTATGCATTGCAGCTTTTCAGTTTGTATTTATTTTCTGCATGGCTTTAAGCCTGATTACTTCAAAAGATATCTAATTTCATATTGGTATTTGTATTTCTGGTTGAATAAAACATTTTATTCTTTATTATGTTTGTCTTAACCTAATTTTAACATGTCATAATCATTAGTGATTGTGATTTGTAAATCTGTAGATACAGAATCAGTGAAGAAAAATGAAGGACAAAATTGAAAAATTGCGTAAAATGCCCTTTGATGTTATGAGGGAGAGAGGAGTAAAGAGAGCAGAAGGAGGAACAGGTTATTTTCTTTTTTGTCGTTTTTTTCTTACAAAAAAGAGAACTCTCAAAATCCCTCAAGTCATTCCTCTTAAGGAGATGGTAGGATAAAGAGTGCACAGCATTCCTGTCCAACTGCTGATAAAGTAGTCATACTTCAAATCACTACCATCATAGAATCATAGAATATCTCAAGTTGGAAGGGGTCCATAAGGATCATCGAGTCCAATTCCCTGCTCCTCACAGAACTGCCTAAACCTAAACCTAAACCATATGACTAAGAGCATCGTCCAGACGCTCCTTGAACTCTGACAGGCTTGGTGCCGTGACCGCTTCCCTGGGGAGCCTGTTCCAGTGACCAACCACCCTCTCAGTGAAGAACCTTTTCCGAATGTCCAGTCTGAACTTCCCTTGACGCAGCTTCATTCCATTTCCTTGTGTCCTATCACCGGCCACCAGGGAGAGATCAGCACCTCCCCCTCCACTGCCCCCCTTGAAGACTGCAATGAGGTCACCCCTCAGCCTCCTCTTCCCCAAGCTGAACAAGCCAAGTGACCTCAGCCGCTCCTCACGAGTCTTACCGAGACCTTTCACCATTTTGGTCGCCCTCCTCTGGACACACTCTGATAGTTTGATGTCCTTCTTATATAAATTGAGGTGCCCAAAACTGCACACAGTACTCGAAGTGGGGCTGCACCAGTGCAGTGCAGAGTGGGACAGTCACCTCCCTCGACCGGCTAGCTATGCTGTGCTTGATGGACCCCAGGACATGGTTGTCCCTTTTGGCTGCCAGGGCACTGTTGACTCATATTCAACTTGCCATCAACCCATACCCCCAGATTTCTTTCCGTGGGGCTGCTCTCCAGCCTCTCGTCCCCCAGTTTGTATGTATACCCAGGATCACCCTGTCCCGGGCGCAGAATTGGGCACTTGCTCTTGTTAAATTTCATATGGTTGGTGATTGCTCAGCTCTCTAGTCTATCCAAATCTCTCTGTAAGGCCTCTCTACCCTCGAGGGAGTCCACAGCTCCTCCTAGTTTAGTATCATCATTTGACTTCCTAGTCCTGTGTAGGAAGTCAAATGCTGCTGTCTTTATGCAAATGCAGAAACTGAATCAGAAAGATGAGGTAACTGGCTAAAGGCAGCACTGAGCACATCCGAATAGCCTTCTCTACGATAATGCTAGTAATGCTTTGGTTATAATAGTTCACTGAAATTGCATGAAGTGTTTAGGTACTCCTCTTCCTGAAGAAGAAATACATTTGTAATTGATTTAGTGTGTTCAGAAACGGAAAATACTTAAAACAAATTGAAGCTCACTTAAAAATGATTGCTTGGATGCTTTTAGTTGATGTGGTGGATGGAGCAAGTTTTTGGTTTTATTTTTGTGTGTTTTATTTTTTGTCCTTTAATAACATGAGCACATTTCCATCACCATTTGTTTTTTTTTTTAATTTCCAATCAGTGGGAAGGGTCACGCAGATTAGTTATTTGAATGTAACTCTAAGATCAGGTTCTATACACTACCTCCTTACGTAAATCTGTAAAACTTTGTCAAGTTTATAATGTTGTTTTATACGAATTGAGTATATTATTGTCCCACCAATGACCCTTTTAATATTTTGGAGTTAATGTAAACTATCTAATACTAAGATAGAGAAGAACATGTGGCTAGTAGGATGACAATAAACTTATGTGTGCAATACATAGGAAAGTGCTTTAGAATAAAACGTGGGCTGGCATCGGGAGAAGAGAAAGTGTGGACATGGCAAATGCTTGCTTTTTCTTCCCTGTTTCATTTAAAACTATAAGAACCTTTGTAGGGCTGGGTTTTTTTTTGGGGGGGGATGTTGTTTTTTTGTTTTTGGTTTTTTTTTAAAATGCATGATCTTTCTTCTGTGAAAGAGTTAGAGTGTACCGAACACCACCCTAGTTTTGTCCTCCATCACAACAAAATGTAATGCTTGGAGGAAGAGCTTCGCTACCTAAAATGGTGTTTTTGAGAGGTAGTGATATACATTTAAGAAATCTTGCATTAAATCATAAGCTTTTTAGAGCAAAGGATGTTGTCTTGAGCTTGCCAGTCAAGAAACTGAAAAAAACACATTAGCATTTCTTGTTTAATTTACATAATCATTGAATGGGAACAATTTTATAGGATGATTACTTAAAATGCTTCTAGTCCTGCTGCTCTGACATACTACTACAAGGGAATCTGCAACAGTTTGTAATGAGAACAGTTTTGACACTAGTGAAAACTTAAATGATTGCTTTGACTAGACACAACATGAGAAAACAGGATTCTTAATTCTCACCACAAAGAAAGAATGAAAACTCATATCTGCAAATAAACTTGGTTAAATCTGTAATCTCTTTATTGTGTATGAACGACAGTTTCATTGTAGGAAATAACTCTAGAGAATCATTAAATTAAATTAATTTCCTCTGAATGTGCTGGTTATTAATTTATATTGTTTGGCATACAAAGAAAATCCCAGTTCAACCACTTTGCAATATTAGATTCTGAAGTTAGTTTCAAATCTTCCAAAGAAAGTTTTCTTTTTTTTCTCCCACTGTCTTGATATTTGTGAGGGGTTTCCATCAAAGAGGATGTTTGAATAAATAGAGCACTGATCCTGTGTCTATTTCTATTTCTTGGGAAAGGAAACAGTGAAGTTTTACTATTTATATATATCTTCAAATGATGAAATGATAAGGCAGGAGGGAGGGATAAAGTTTTCTACTTTGTCAGTATTGTAACCTCTCATTGAAATGGATTTAGCTAATATTTGGACAGAAGTGTAACTTTCAAGTTGAGGGCAACATTACAGTTAGCAGCTTCTGAGAAGGTGCTGGGAAATATCCGACTGGTTTCTGATTTGTATTCCCGCTGAAACGCATTTTTTTCAGTGATCACCTTGTCTCTACTTTATTGTGAAATTCTGATTTTTCCCTAAAGGCTTTTTCATGGTGTTTTTTTTGTTTGTTTTTTGCTTTGTTTAGTGGAGAAAATGTAAGTATAAACTGTATTTAGACTCACCTTAATGTCCACCTAAAAATCAGCTGCATCTTAGTATTGACTGTGATGTTCCTAGCTGCTGGAGTTCTGAAGGCTTTTTCAGAAGCAAATATCACGATTTTCAAATCCTTTGGTGATTGGGTTTGAGAAGAATTTGGGTAGTGGTGTTCTTGCAAGTGAAGACTTAATCTTCTGCAGTTGTGCTTTCTGAGTCCTTTATATTATAAATGTGGATGGAGGTTTTTGTTTTAATCTCTTGGAACTTGTTACGCACAGCAGTGTAGTTTGTCCTGTTGGTTCTGGGAGAGATCACTTTCTGTTGTTGGACAGCCTCTTGTGATCTGCCTCTCCATGCTCTAGCCCTGCCCTCAAAAAAAGTTATTTGGGATTTTTTGTCTTTAAATAAAATATCTTCTTTTTTTTTTTTTTTTCCAGGAAAAATATGAATGTGCTTGTAAACGGGACAGCATTAAAATTGTGACACCGGACTGGGTACTGGATTCTGTAGCTGATAAGACTAAAAAAGAAGAGACTCCTTATCATCCTCGTTTAATTATATACGAGGAGGAGGAGGAAGAGGAGGAGGAGGAAGAGGAGGAGGAAGAAGAAAATGAAGAACAAGATTCTCAAAATGAAGCTAGTACTGATGAAAAATTATCAAGCCCAGCATCTTCTCGAGAAGGCTCACCTTTGGGTGATCAAGTTTTTTCACCAAAATCTACTACTGCTGATAAGGCAAAAGGGGAACTGATGTTTGATGATTCTTCAGATTCCTCTCCAGAAAAGCAAGAAAGGAATTTGAATTGGACACCAGCTGAAGTCCCACAGGCATCTGCAGCAAAGCGCAGGTTGCCTCAAGGGAAAGACTCTGGGTTAATTAATTTATGTGCCAATGTCCCACCAGTGCCAGGTAATATTTTGCCTCCGGATATGAGAGGCAATCTAATGGCTTCAGTACAAGGTGCCCAAAGTTCTGATCGACAGGAAATGATGGCTACGTGGAGTCCAGCCGTGCGGACATTAAGGAATATTACTAATAGTGCTGATATTCAGCAGATTAATAGACCATCAAATGTAGCACATGTAAGTGTTGGATTTTTAATTTATAAGATATTGGACTTTTTATTAGGAACTGTCGTATACAAGAACTTCAGTTTCCTTTTATTGCTCTTTAAATGTACAAAGGATTAAAAGTTCTCCGTATTACTTAGAAGTTGTGGCCAAATTAGTAACCTCCCCATAATAAGTTAACTTCATTCCTAGCAGGTTCACAGAAGTAAGAATGCATTTGGAAAAAATGTTTGGAAGAGTAAGGCTGTGTTTAACTATAGCATGGTTTAGAGTTTCAGTATTGATTTCTTGGTAAGAGCAAAGAAAAAAAATAATTCATTAATTTAAAATTATTTGGCTAGTTCAGGAAACCTGATTTCATACCTTTCAAGCTTTCTATTCAGTGCAAGGAGTTACTTGTGCTATAAACACATAAAACTGTGAAATTGATTGTTCTCACGGTAGGTTCAGTTCTATACTGTGTTGTTCTGCTGGGCATCATTAAGTTGTTATATAGGATAGTCAGGATTATGATGCAGAAGTCCTAACTTAAAAGTTCTTATGCCACTCGTAAAGTTGAAATAATTGCAGCTTTTGTACTGAATTTATTTTTGGAAGAAAATAAAAAGCGAGTGAGCATGCACTGAAGTAACTTGCAGCATTGAAATTCTAAGATGTTCATGGGAAGGGAACGTGAGAAAAGTAGGTGCTGGTAAATGGTAGACATATCTTTTACTTAAATAATTGTACTGGTGCATTTATTTGGATGTTCATCTGAAGGTAAAACTTTGAAAGGTGCCTGAATAATCCAGACACTTACAGCTAGTACTTAAACACAAAAAGTGTAGTCACTCAGAAATGTTGGTTCTTTGTTGTCTATATGACTTCCGAATATGAAACAGAAATGCAGGCTTCCTTTTAGAACTGAGTCTTAGATTCTTCTTCTCGGTGCCTTGAGTTGTTTAAGGACTGAGACTTCTGGGTAAGGACTGAGCAGAACCGGCAAAGTCCTGGTCGGTTGGCCAGTGCTGGTACGCTGGCTGATGCTTTCACGTCTGAACACCGCATCTATAACCCAGCCGTTGTACTATCAAATACTCTTTAGTGGTGTCCCTGTGGAAGTATTTTTCTGTAAATATTTAGAGAGCTACAGGGCAGTTGATAGTATCGTGCTTCGGCTAGACTTTGTTCTCCAACAGTCTGTTAGACTAGGGACTTGGCTATGGTGTGCAAGGACTGTTCTCAAGTACCATATCAGGCTGCTGTGTAGGTTGCTGTGCTAGCGCCAGCACATGGAGAAAAAGCTTTGCATCTTAGAATTGTGAAATCTGCTTCCTAGAGGGAGGAATACCAAGTTTACGTTTTCCCTTATAACTTCCCTCTGGCTAGGTTAAATTGTACTTTGTATCCTGCTTGGGTACCAGTCTTGGGTGGATTCCATATCTTGGTGTGCAGTCTTGGAAAGTTAATGTTTAATTTGAACCTCAGATTTCTGCTGAACAGCAAGATCTGTAATAATACGGTGTTTTGCAGATACAAAGTTACTTTCTGAATATAGCCCTAGGATACTTTTGAAAGTTTTATCCCTTTATTTTGAAATATGTGTCCTGAAGCTTCTGTAATTTTGACTTTTGGGACTTTTTGTGGAGAGCGGCATGAAGATCTGTCCTCATACTGAGCCACGGAAACATTCTTTTCGTGTATGTTATTTTTAGTTGTTGAATGTTTATACTGTGGTGCTGTCTAGACATTAGTGATGGGTGATGCACTGATAATCGTGGTGGTAAATGTATGCTATACCAACAACACCAAAATTACTTAGATGAAACCTGAGATGTTTTGACGTGCATTGTAAAAAACACTTGAGCCACCTCTGATGAAGAGTTGATGGACGTCTCATTGAGAGGATACAGTTAATTGGCTTTGTGTTTTAGTGATGTGCTTTGATTCCTCTCTCTCGCACACACACATCACTGAAGTTTACACTGTATGTGATGAAATAGCGTGGGTGAAGGAAATGAGCTTTGCAGGATTCACCAAAGCTGGTTGAATGTTTAAAAGACTTTATGAATGGCGAGTCTAGAGTTGCCTGTTGCTCCTTCTAATTTTTAATAGGTAGTTTATATTAAAATATTTTATAAATATGTAGAACTCAATCTATTAGGAATTTGCCTAATTGTCCCTTTTCTGATGCTTTAAAAACTCACTTGCCAACTTGTGTCTGCTTAGTGTGAAATGATTTTTCCCTTAACAGTGACCTATACATCTAAAAATGAAATTAAACTCCAGATTACTTCAGCACTCTGTATAAATCTAAAATCTATTATTCTTAAGTATGGGTTGGTTAGTGCTCAGTAGATCAATGTTTTTCTTTGTATTTTGGGATTCAGTTTAAACAACAGAGCTAAGTATTCCTGTATTGGTTCAAAAGAAAGTAAGGTTGTATTAAGTTCCCGTGTTTCCCATATTTCAAACAGTACTAATTAGTAGAGGCGTTATTAGCCATTTTTAAGTTAAAGAAAATAAGACTATGGAACTAAACTTTGAACTTAACGGACCAACAGGATTGTAAAGTGAATATTACAGTTGATTGAGTTGATCAGTGTAATTATTAATATAGTGTTAATAGTCATAATGCTATTGGAGATATCAGCAATAATACAGGGACAGGATTTAATCTTAAATTTTGCTAAAATGTGCATTGCCTTATATTAGGAGCCATGTGTAGCTCCACGCTTTTCTATGTGTAAGTCCTGTCTTTTCATTTTGCTATTAACAGTTAAAAGATTCTGGTTTAGCTCACAGTGTATTTAAGCATAGGGTTCTTTTCTTTTGAGAATTGTATTTTCCCAGTAGTTCTTTAAATATTTTTAAAACTGAATGACAACAAAAAGGTCATAAAACTAATCTTTGTTTTCTAGATATTACAATCACTTTCAGCACCTACAAAAAGTTTAGAACAACAAGTAAATCATAGCCAACAGGGACATCCAAATGCGGTGCTCTTTAGTCAAGTGAAACTAACACCAGAGACACATTTATTACAGCAGTCACATCAAGCACAGCAACAACAGCACCATCCTCTTTTACACCTTCAACCTCAACAACTTATGCAGCTACAACAGCAGCAGCAGCAACAACCCCAGATTTCCCAGCAGTCTTTCCAACAGCAACAGCCTCATCAGTTTTCACAACAGCAACAGCAAGTCCATCAGCAGCACCAGTTCGCACAACAGCAGCTTCAGTTTCCACAGCAGCAGTTACATGCGCAACAGCAGCTACACCGTCCTCAGCAACAGCTCCAATTCCAACAGCAGCATGCTTTGCAACAGCAACTTCATCAGCTGCAGCAGCAGCAGCTACAGCAGCAGCAATTGCAGCAGCTACAGCAACAGAATCTGCAACAACAACAGCTGCAACATCAGCAGCAGCAAATACAGCAGCAGCAGCAATTGCAGCAGCAGCACTTACAGCGGTTACACCAACAGCATCAGCAACAGCAAATGCAGAATCAGGCAACACAACACTTAACTCAGACATCTCAAGCACTACAGCATCAAGTTGCAGCCCAGCAGCCACAACACCACCAGCAGCAACAGCAACAACTGCAACAGCAGCCGCTCTTTGGACATGATCCAGCAGCGGAGAGTTAGTAATTATTGCCTTCTGATCCTGGAAAAAAGTCGCTAATGACGTGACGTACTGTGGGTTAAAATATCAAAAAATAATGCTGTGTTTACAGTATGGGATTGTAAGACTTAGAAACGCCATTCATGGCTTGGCACCTGTTTTACTAATTTTTAGGCAAACAGATTTAAATTGTAACTAAGGGTGATCCAGAAATCTGAAAAGCCTGAGAACACGGAGAGCTTTCTCTTTTCAAATACTGCCACTAGCATATAAATTATGCTATGAGAACAGTGTTAGTCTATGCATACCATAAATTTTTCTAATTTTTTTTCCTTTGGAAGAGGGGAAAGGGGAAGCTTTCAAAGAGGATAACAACTGGAAAGACAGCTTAAATTTTGGAAATACTAGTAAATTATGAGGATTCAGTATCAGATAGAAAGTTGTCATACCTTGCTTTGAATTCTGTCCATGCTAGGAGAACTGAAAGCTTTTTGATTGTTTTGACTCTTCATAGGTGATCTATATAAAAGAATAAGTTGTTGCCTTATGTTTTCCTTTTGGTGCTCCTTCCTTCTACCCCTTTAGCCCCTCTTCCTCCAGGAAAAAAACCACCCAGAACAAGAACAAACCCTGGGCTGAAGTGTGCCTTTAGATGTGGCTGTCAGCTTTGAAATTTTGGATCCTACTTTTTCCAAGAAAGATTTACTTCAAAATTGAATGAAGTTTATAACCTGGTAACAGGAAAGATTAGTGTAGCAAATATGTTCTGAGATGAACTCTTCAGACTTGTAAGTATTTAATTTTTTGTTCTTTTATGTGCCAAACTATTCCAGTTCCAGAAGAGTATTTCCTACTGGGCTGTGTCTTTGCAATTGCTGATTACCCAGAACAGATGTCTGACAAACAGCTGTTAGCGACCTGGAAACGGGTAAGATTCTGCTGTTTTTTTAAAAAACTATGATAACATAATGTCATAGTAACTAAATCCTGAAAGGAATGATTGGAAGTATTTCAGCACTGTTCACTTTTCTTTAGGCATCTTTTTGTGTAATGTTTGTGTTACAACCTAAAAACCATTATTCAACTGTAGCTGACCAGAAAAAAGTAATAAAAATGCTTTAGATGTGCAGCCTGGTTGAATTAGGTCTTTAGTCAGAACATTGGCTAAATAAGTTATAGCCTTAACTGTTTCCCGACTATTTATGCTTTTAATCAGGCAGCTGTAGTGCAGCAAATGTAATACTGCATTGCTCTCTATCTTTAACTTGATTGTATAAAAAGATTCTTTTTTTGCGTATAATTTTGGCATTTAGTAGCCTGTGAGGTATCCACCTGAGTGAATAAGATGGAGGAATAGAGTGTTTCTATTTTTTGCCAACTTCTATTTTTCAGAAAAATCTGATTGTATCCTTTCCTAAATGAGAGGACTTTGATGTTCTTCAGAAACTTCTGATGGATTTTATAGTTGAATTTTCCCTA